CCCTGCCTCGGAATACGTCCGAGCGGCCGCGCGACCCCCCCCACCAAAGAAACGGGTGATTCCGCTCCCTCCCGTACGGACAGAGTCCACACCTCTCAAGGCGGGAGAAGTCCCCGGTGCAATGAGCCGAAGCTCTCGGAGACCCCATCCCCCTCAGTGGCATGAGCCAGCCCGCAGCCAGGAGCACCCAGCATACGGGCCAGCTCGCCTGCGGGAGCACCCGCGTTGACCCTTTTGCACGTAAACCGCAAGGGAACCATCCCACCCCACAGGGAGGAGGGGAAGGTCCCACGGGGATCCACGTGCAGCGGGGATCGAAACCCCACATCACGCACGGGAAGGGAGCAATCCTCCCCCTGACGGTGCCGTGCCACCGGGCGATTGAAGTCAGGGCCGCCAACCCCTACTGGCACACTGGGGACCTGTCGCGAAGGACGAGACCCCCAGGAGTCCCTCCCACGAGAAGAGGAAACCCCCTTGGGGTGCCGGACCCGGTCTACAGACGCCCCCCGTGAGGAGGGAGTCCGTACAGGCTGCTCTCAGACCCCCACGTGCCGCAAGCGACCCGTGGGGGAGCCCTCTCACCACGACAAGGTGGCAGCCCACGAGAGGGAGAGGGACCTAACCTAACCTTTTTTTTTTTTTTTTTTTTTGATAACCGAGGGGAAATGCCTAACGCATACCCCGGGTCTCGGGGGAGAACCCGGGGTTATGCGGGGCTTGCACCCACTGAAACCCCTCCGGGTGTCCTTACCTGGCCTTGCACGAGGGGCTCCCAGCCGGGTGTGCAGCATACTTCTGGGAGCCCCTCAGGCCAGTCGGCTAATGCCGACGTCGGTTCCCGCCCGGGGATTTTTATGACGCCGTGGACCCCTTCGCCCGTTTTGGGGCGGGGGGGGGCCCCCCCCCCCCTGCGCCCGCCCCCACGGTTGGTGTTGGGGGGCGGAGGTTGGGGATCACGGCCCCCGCCGCGATCCCCAGCTCCCCAAGGGGCGCCAAACGAGTGTTTGGCGCCCCTCATGCATCGGCACCGCGAGAGACGGATCCCTCGCGGCGCACCCCCCGCGCGCGCGGTGGTGCAGGGCCCCCGGCCCGGTCGTGCATTCGACGCGGCCGGGGGATGATGGGCGACTACACGCGCGCGGAGGGTCATCTTTGGTCCGGCGGCGGTGCGACCCTAGGATCGGCAATCCGCCGCCAGCTCTCAGCGCCCCGCGTCCGAGACGCGGGGCCGTCGAGGACGACGGGAGGGGCGGGGGAGGAGGGACCACCGGCCCAATCCCCTCCCCACAAACGTCCTCTTCCTCCGTAACCTCTGCGATGGGGAGAGGAGGCGGCCGCCGTTCTCGCCCCGTGGGGCGGTCCCGGCGGCGCGTACGCGCGGGCGGTGGCCCATGGCGTGAGCGGCTCGGCTGGAGCCGGCGCCCACGTTTACCCCCAACACTACCAACCCGCGTATCTCCTCCCCCCTCGTCATCCCCGCCACCCGGAGGCGGCGGGGCGGGAGAGGACCCCCGCCCCCCGGGGCCCCCTCCCTACGCCTTTCTGCCTCCTCCTTCTGCGACATCACCCGATCGCAGAAGGAGGAGAAGGCCGCCCAAGCACTCTCCCTGCCGATCATCGCTCTCACGACAGCCGGCAGGGAGAGGTCCTCTCCAATTTCTCGGACCAGGACACCGCCCTCGCCCGCCCACGCTGGGCAGGCCTCTAGCGTGTGCTGCGCGATGTCCCGGTCCCCGTCGCAGTGACGACAACCAGTGGTCGGCTCCTTGCCTATGCGACACAGGTACTCCCCGAAACAACCGTGTCCGGTGAGCACCTGTGTCGCGTGGAACGACAGTCCGCCCCATGCCTACCCATGCTTCGAAGAGCACCTGTGTCGCGTGGAACGACAGTCCGCCCCATGCCTAGTCCAGGGACACCGCCAACGCCACCTGCTGGGGGGATGCCCTCCAGGGTCCGAGCGCCCGTTGTCGGCGGGTCGTTTTCGAGGGTGGCGCGCCACTCCTCGAAGACCCGCCGACGGGCGTTCCTCCTGAGTCGCTCAGCGGTCCCCTGGGTTACGACCCCCCCCGCCCCGAAGTCGAATGCCCTTCACCCTGGCGAAGGATTCCGCCAGGGCGTCGGCCACGTATTCAACAGGGGGGATCCCCGCGAGGACCATGACGGCCGCATACGACACCGTCCTGTAGGCTCTGCATATTCGCAAGGCCAGCCGCCGTTGCACGTTGTGCAACCTTGCCTTAATACGGCGGCTAGCCAGAGCCTTTCCACTCCATACCGGGGTCCCGTAAAGGGCCCCGGACAGGACGGCGTTCATATACAGCTGTCTGACCGACTCGTTCGGACCGTGGAGGTTGGGCATTAGGCCGAGCAGAGCGTCTGCTCGGCGGCCCAACCGCGGGGCTAGCTCGTCGAAATGTTCGACGAAGCCCCAGCGGCCATCCACGGTGAGGCCCAGGTACTTGATAGTTGGCCTCACCGGGATGCGGACGTCGTCACCCCGCTCTGCCCGTTATGGAAGAACAAGGCTTCCGATTTAGCGGGGGCCACCCTCAGGCCCAACTCCTTAATGGAGCCGACCACACACGCCACTGCAACGTTTGCCGTCCCGACGGTTCTTTCCCAAGTCGTGCCCCCGGCCACCACCAACGTGTCGTCTGCGTAACAGATGACGTGGCAGCCGGGGGGTAGGGCCGCGCGGAGAACGTGGTCGTATGCGATGTTCCAAAGTAGGGGGCCCAACACGGACCCCTGTGGAACGTCGCACGACACGTCCCTCCGCTGCTGGAGTCCCTCTTTGTCGAGGAACTCCAGCTTCCTGTCCCGGACATAGTCCCCGATGATGGCCACTAGGTAGGGGGGCAAGAGGTGGTGTCCTCTTAACGACCCCACTACCTGGCCCCACGGGACGCTGTTAAAGGCGTTGGCGATGTCCAGGGACACCGCCAACGCCACCTGCCCTCCCGCGGTCCG